CAGCTCTAGCAGCGGCAAAATGATTTCAGCTGGAGAAGGAGCACAGGTTTCCAATAAAAGGGCTGAGTTGCAGCACAGAAGAGCTGTAGCTCAGGAGGGCTATGTGGGAGACTAGAAGAGATTAAAAAAAAAATAAAAAATACTTAGCTTGTTATCTCAGCTGCTGGGCTGTGCTTCTGAGAGGTCTTTCACATCAATATTTACCTCTAGCAAGTACTCTCAGGTGCCAGTTCAGCTCTGTGTACTCATGTGCAGCTGGTAAAGTAACTCTGGGGGTTATCTGAGCGGAGCTGGCAGTGTGGGACATGCTCCCTGCTCCTCCTGGCTGGGGGGGTTAGGCTTGTTGCAGAGGGTATTGTCTCAGCAGCGGGGCTTGGGGTCTCTATGAAGCCTGGGACTGGAGGGCAGGGAGGCAATCGGGGTTATGTGGCGTCTCAGGGCTGGTTTTGGTGGGGGTTGCCTGGCTGGGGTGCTTGCACCTCCCTGTGAGCATGGAGAGGGGGACCGCAGGGAGCCTGCCCCGGGGAGAGGTGGCTGCGCCCTCCTGGAGGTAGGTGAGATCGGGGATGTTGGGGACTTCTCTCACCCTGGGACAGCAGTTTTTCGATGGTGGGTGCTGCCATCCCAAATGGACCATTTTGCAAGTAAAGATCATTTCCTAGATACCGCTGTGAGAGGAGCATTTCTGTGCGTAGGGAGTGAAATGCATCTCTGGGAGGGGTTGTGATCACTGCAGAGGGGAACTCCAAGCTTTGATTTAATTAAACAAGCAAGCACACAGAGGCAGCCTGGAGCTGGGTTTGGAACTGGTGAAAAAGGGCTGATTTGCTGTAAGTAGCTCTTTGTGGCGGGAAAACAACCCTACCCTGGAGGAGAATGGCTGAGGCTGGAGCCCTGCTTTTCTCTGCTTGCTCTGCCGAAGAGTTGCATTAAAATCTCACGTGGGGATGTGTGTGGGATGGCGGCTTGGGGGCCCGAGCTTGTGGGGCCGCCAGCTTCACACCAACT